CTTCGAAACAAGCTGGTTTGCTTGGGAAAGTTAAGTCGACGTCGCATAAATGTCAGATACACGTGGGTAAGAAGTTGGTGCCTGTCGGTGGTGCAACGGTATCCCACACACGCAACTGGAACATCAGAAAACTGGTAACAGCCATCCAGAGAAGCATGGGATGCCCCATCCTGACTTTGTCTGAAGCAAGTTAGAACAAAACATCTCACTAAAGGAAAATCCCCTTCTGTAGACAAGCCACTTTTTAATAATAAGTGCTAAATGGACTATTCAAGCAGGTAATTAATGTTAATTAACATATGTCAGGCCATAAATTGGCTAAATGCACCTCCTTTTCCAAGCTTAGTGTGTGGCAATGCTCAGGAAATTGTAGCAGAAAAGAACAGTCAAAGTCTGTAGAGGCACAAAAAAAGAGCAAATAAAAGGTTAAGCTTAATCTTCACTTAACTCGTGGTGTGCTGAGCCAGCACTACTGAAAACCGAATGACTGTGCACATTACTTGAACACTTCATTTTGCTCCCGAACCGCCGCGCTACGCACGTACTGTCAGCCCCAAGAAAAGCCACATCAAAAAAACCCTGCAGCTCCCCGAGCGCCGTGTTATCAGGCAGGCCCGTATCGGGATGCTCGCTACGTGCTGTGGGACCTGGATGCGCCTCCTGCCCTGGGACCTGGTGAGGCTGCGGTCCCTTCCCAGCGCCCACTCGGTTTTTGTGGCAGCTGGAACAAAACAGCGGCAGGAGGATGCTCAGAGCTCGCCCTCCTCCAGAGTCTGCCTCGAAACGCAGAGGGCCTCGCGCCTCGAAAATCGACTAACGCTGCCATTTTATAACCCTGCCCTTGGGCACGTTTTCCGGGACGGAGCGAGCAGTCTGGCTTTTAAAAAGGTGGGAGAGAAACAAGAACGCGCGAAGATTTTAGTCTAAGTAACAACTTGCATTAGGAAACACTTTCAGTTTCTCCCCTGGCAAGCCGCCACTACGCCAAGACCCACTGTAATTGCATTGCAAATCAGAAGCAATCCTCACAAAAGATTTTCCATGCTTCCACGCAAAGTAGGTGGCTGCCAACAGCCTCACAGGGCACCTCTCGGAGGCTGCCACCTAGAGAAACGCTTTGGCTATTTATCCTCAGTTTTCCCTTATCTCCAAGGCAATCCCTTCGGCTTCCCTCCGAACCCCCAGCACACCCACTGCAATTTTCTGGGGCGATTTCATGCTTGTTCTCCCCATCTACCCCATGCAAAGAGGCTGAAAACAGGGGGGCGCAGGGTGCTGCCCCCGCCCCGGTGCTGTTTGCCCTCTGCAAGGGACCCCACCAGCTCCGGGCTTCTACTTTGTCCACATCAGCACAAAGAGCTTTCACAAAACCACCCGGCTAACCCTAATCACTCGCCTTTCTAAATGCGCCAGCACGTGCCCAGCCTCCCCTAATCTCCCAGGATTACAGCAAAGTGGTGTAGCACCACCAAAATGACCCGAATAAATAATGGCCTCGCCTGAAAGACACCGCTTGCTTTACCAGCACAAAGCCAAGCAGAGGCAGGACAGCCCTGGGCAGGAGAGCCAGCACCCCTCTCTTCCCCAGCCTTATGGTCTCAGACAGTGTTTGTTCAAGCAAAAACAACACACCGGATACAACATCCGCTAAGGTGATCTAATTTTATTAGCATTAACCGTGTGCTTCCAAACACGCAGGTAAGTGCAGGAGCCAACCGCTGACTCTCAAGCTTCCTATTCTAAATATGTTCAAATACAGACACTACTAACCCGTGCCAACGCCAATGTTGCACGACTGTTTTAGGTAACCTTCTATCTTTGAAGAATTCAGGAACATTGATTCCAGTATTTATCACACAGGTCTACCTGACAGAGGTACCATCCGGCATCATCCGCTGGGGACTTCCCATTCACATGAAAAGTTAAGTTTATCAGAGCCTGTGCCTCTTTGCAGCTGCTGACATTCAGGAAGGCGACGCGTTTGTATCGGCATTTAACAAGTCCTTCAGCAGAGGTGCTCCTCACTGTCACACTGCGGATCAAACAATGCCAACGATTCTGGAAGAACTAGTTGGTGTCTCTCTCTCTACCCTAATAGCTGTCGCCTGTCTGCACGAGCTGGGGAAAAGTGAGATCTTTGATGTACGTTACAGACATGAAATAATAATGCGTGCTAATATCTACATATGGCTTCTACTGGGAAGTTTAAAAAGTCACTTGCTACTTTGATACGAAAGTATACTCCTCTTTGATGCAAGAAGCTTGTTATCTAGCAGTTTCAGCTTCGGGGCTGGAACTGTGCATCTCTCTACGTTGCTCAGCACAAAATTCACTTACAAATGTTACCGAGTGCTCTGTTAAAGCACAACATAGTAAGGCTTTGATCAGGTAAGATGCTTAAGCAGTGAGTTTAAGCACACACGTAATCCCAGTGAAGTCCCAAGGATCCATTCACGTGCTTAAACCCGTGCTTGCTTCAGTTGATCGAAACTTGAAATAATCAGACTATATTTTGTAACCCAAACGCTTCTGTAAGGATGAACAAGGCAGCTCATAATTTGGAATAAAAAAAAAAAAAAAAAAAAAAAGTAAGAGTATAACAGAAGGCTGGAAAAAATATTCAGGCTAGCAGCTAACTAGGAAACAGAGTCTTTTAAAAAAAATAAAAAAGAAAAAGAAGACAGCAGAGCAAAAATGAAACTGGTGCAAACTCCAGCTTTACGCTGCCACTCCTGACAAAAGACACTGTGTGCTACTCGGAGGGAGGAGAAATAAGAACAGAGAGCGGTGTTGCTTCCTTCCCACATCCTTTGCAAAAAGATGACAAAAACAGTCCGACACATCTTGCGTATCAGCATCTGCCTAACAGATTTAGACATCTCTCCACACCGCTGGCGAATTTCTCAAGTCTTTTCAAGTCTCGATAATGACAGAAGAGACTCGTGCGTTTGCTACGCTGAAAGGACTTTGGTACCTATTGGTCAATAAAACATGGTAAGGAATGATGAAATGTCCACATACAAAGTTTACAAAAATCTCCCCTTCAAAGTAAATATCCCAGCTACCGGTATTTACCTTTCACAAGGAAGAAGAACGCAACAGGTGTAAAACCAATAGACTTCTGATATAAAAAACAAATCAAAGCAAACCAGATGCATTTAAATTTGGGAATTGCTGGTATCGGTGTGTAAAGGACCAGATTCACAGTCTTGCCACACCGCTCAACACAGAGCAAACTAGTCCCCCTAGTGTACTCTTCATGTAGAAAAGACTGTTTCACAAGACAGTGCTGCAAGAAATTACAAAATATCATTATAGGAAGAGATACGGAAGCACTTCAGCTATAGTGAAACCGGGCACCTCTACTACACACACGGACACAAAGGTGTTTCAGTTTTCTATTTCAAGATTATTCAGCGAGTTACAGCATCCTAAATATTTGGGGGGGGAAACTCGCGATTTAAGCCAGCACACTCGTTTTGTGACTGCAGGGCATCGGCAGGGTAACGGACACCCGAATCTGGGAAGACGGGTAGATCTGCAGACGGAGGAGCTCTGTGGAAGCACCTGCAACGGCGGCCCGGCACAGTGCATTTCACAAGTGTGAAACCAGCTCACCCTCGGACATTTTCCCCCCTCCAGTGATGATAAATACCAAACCCCCCCGGTAAATATTCAAGACAGTAGGCGGATACAGAACCACGCACCGAAACCCTTCCCGGTGACTTGGAAGCACACGGGATTGCATCGAACAAGGCTGCCCGTGGCACACGATCGTGGCCGCAGCGTGCCGGCTCTACAGCGATGCTCCGTACACTGCTGTCCTGGTTAGCTGCCAGGCAGCCTTAAGGTTAGCCAGCGTCCCGCCGGGGCCACGGGGAAGGGGAAGCAGAGAAGATTGTTGGGGGGTAGGGGGGGTGTATTGGGCAAACCTTATCTGGATTAGCGGAAACGTAATATATGCCTTCCTAACCACATCTGAAATATTCACTTCTGCTTTAATGCCCTAGGGGAAAAAAAAAAAAAAAAGAGTGATAGTTGTTAACTTCCAATTTATAGCTCTTAAAATAATTGTTTTGAGGAGTATAATCCCAGCTATGTTTATGGATTACAGTATTCAGCACATCTCACTAGAAATGGTATTAATAGTTCATATACAATAATACATAAGATAATAAAACCAAGTTATCTTCTTCCCTTTGTTTAAAATGACAATTTTCCCACTCAGTGCCAGAGCAGAACACTGTTAAATGGGCTTGGTGCCTTCAAAGACGAACTTAGCTGTGTAAAATATTCTAAATTAAGATAAAAGCTTTCTGTTACAGAAGTATCTTCTGTTCATTTAAAATCTCATTGTAACCAGCAATCTGAAAAAGTCTGACATTAGTTCCTGAAGAGCTGTATTCATTACCTGTGAGGGAAACAAAGATGATAAGAACATATAATGTGTTTTAGCATCGGGAGACTAAGATGGAGTCTCTATTTAAGAGTGTTGCCTCTGCACAAACTAATTTACGTTCCAGCCAAGAAACTGGAATAGTCCTCTTCTGAATGTATACGCATACATTAAAAGAAACTCCATCCCTGCTAAGGAATTAAATTTTGTACTTTTGCATGCCTGGCAAATTATTAGCTCCTGACCCCTCCTTTGCCTCTTTCAGTATGCCCCCACCACCCACGTACAACTGCACCCGCCGTTAACGGGATCGAATGCCTTACCCTAACTTCGAGAGACAGTTCACAGTCATTAAAGAGGCAGAATTTTCTGCTACCAGTGTGCCTGTGCCTCCCGAGAAAGGTCATCTTAAAGGCTTGTGAGAAACTTCTGAAATAAATTATATCAGAGATATCTCAAGGGATCCAAGTTTTTAACATTTTAATTAGCTCCAAGTACCAGTTAATGCTGCTCAGCAAAGGAATCAATATCAAATTAACAGTATAAATTGTCAGAAAAATTGTGACTGTATTAAGCATACTAATCAATGCAAGCACTTTGCGTTATGGCCCAGATCCTGCTTCTGCTGAAGCGAATGGGAGTTCTGCCACTGAATTCAGCCGAAACAGCATCAGCCCCGCTGCTCAGTAAGTCTTCCTCTGAACCGAGTATCGAGAATCTGCTGAAAATTCAAAGTATCAGATAAAAAGAGTGGATTTGTCACAGCAGCTGACATCTAAAGCCACTGCTTCTGCGTGAAACCAAACAACTTATGAAGGCACGGGCTGTCATCGGAAGACGTAACCCTTTGTCACACTCCGTACCGCGCTTGTAAAGTCCGATCAAAATTCAACACCTAATAAAGAGGCAAAAGCTGTAAAAAGGATCTGCGTTTTTAAGAGCCTTGTCTGGAACTAGCTATGCCACGGATAAAACTTTGTGTTCATATTTTCCCCAGCCTGAGACAAGTCTGCCAGTGAAACGCTTCCTCCACAGTGCTCCACTCTGCAGGTAAAAATCATACAGCTCCACTTCAACTGCTAGCAGAAAGTCCTACTCAGGCACCAAAATATGAGACAGGACTGCTAATACAAAAACCGCTAACAACGTTTCCTCCATACAGTGTTTCTGACCGACTTGTATACGGTAAGTTCTCCCCTGATCCAAAGCTAGAGAGATTCAAGGAGGAAATTTAATTTCTCTGTAACACAGTAAAACTTCCCAGCAAATTCGCCTTCAGCCATCCATTCAAAAACTCGGTCTCAGAAGCTGCCAGCAGCAGCCCTCGGCAGCAACCGAACCGTACCGGGATTCCCCTCCGCAAACAGCGTCGACACCAAGCAGCGCCGGCGTTTCCGTACAGCCGCAAGGACGTGACAGGTTGGTGTCCGACAGCCACTAACTGATGGACACAGAAAACAAGGAGAAAAGAGCAGCTCCAGAAATCACTTGATACCTGCTTTATGTGCAGCACCAGCTCCCGGTAGGCCTTATTAGACTCTGTTTTGGAGAGCAAAACCCTGCCTGCCTGCAACGTGCTTTCGCACGCGCTGAGTAAACAAGCCACAAAAACAGATTTCTTTCTTTTTTTTTTTCTTTTCTCCTCGCTTATTAAAACGATAGTAATCTTAGCTGCTAACTTTCGTGATGCCGGACAGAAAACGCTGGGATACACACACGGGATTTCTCAGCAGACGGTGCCCTCACGCACTGGCACCGCAGGAAACACAAACCGAGCGCTGTCGCGGCTGAGCAGCCAGTAACTCCACGCTTTGATTAACTTCATGAAGAAACGTCAAGACCCGAATTTCCCTCTATTGCCTTTGAGGAACGTGTGGGAAACCACTGGGGTTTTTCTCGATGAAAATAATCGACTCGTTCCGTACTTGAGCTGCGAGACTCAGACCGACCCTGAGTAAAAGCAACTCATTTCCAGCACGAGTGACACCAAAGGTACCTGTAACTTCAAAACCAAAGCAAAACAAAACAAACAAACAAAAAAAACCCTTAAAAATATTTTTTTTCCTTTTT